GGGTATACCCCCTCCCCACAAAACCACCACTGGCTACGCCACTGTAATATTCGGTTTGATTAATGCAATTGTAAAGAATTTGTATAAAATGTTTTTTTATTCGGAATAATAATATATTCTGTTCAATATTTATAGCACAGTTGATATTCATATTGGATATAGGATATGTTAATCTTAAACGTGAAAATGTTATTAAAAAACAAATGAAATATATCTATTTACGTATACAGAGTATTACTCAATATGTATAAAATTACAGGAAATCAAATATTTCTAAAAATATAAATTAAAAACAAGTTTAGTAGGAACAACGCTACACATTACTAAGAAGAAATTAAAATGCATATAAAATATAAATAATATACATCATTTTTTGTGCTTCAATCTTTAACATTGTGTTTGGTTTCTGGTAGAAAATTCGATCCAGTTGGATCTTTTTCAAAAGTAGGAAATTCTAAGTAATTTTCTAAATAATTTGGAAAAACTAACAAAAAACCGCGGGAAAACGGAAATATTTACGCAACACCAGTTTTAGTCCAAATTGATTTTGTTTTTTTTTTTTTTGTTGTTATTCAAAAAATATTTTTTGTAGAATTAATGTGAAATTCAAAAAATAAGAAAATTGCATTTTTGCAATTGCAATTTCTTTTAAGCACAATGTTTTGACAACTTTGCATATTTTAAATAACGTATTTTCCTTTTTTAAAATTAATTATTTTGTTAAGATCTTAAAGACCTGACTTTTCGCTATCACGTATATTATTATATTTCATTCATAATGCAATTTTTTAAATACTTATAGGTACACAAAATAACCACAGATCTACTCAAACTATTCTGCGGTACATCGGTATTGACATTAGAAATTACAGACATCGTTTTTTTTGGAAAAATTACTTCAACCTACCAAATTAAGAAAATAATATTAATAATAATATAAATAGTATAACATAATTTATCCTTAGAAATAGACACTGATTCGCTCGTACCCTACTCACAGAATCGTTTTTCTTATACCAACAATGATTGATTGTTGAATTCAAATTTAACTCGTTCATTAAAGCGACGCTACCTACTCAATAAGGTACACTAGATATTATCTACTACACAGCAATTTGAGCGAGTTCTCTGTTTTCTAAATATGTAGTTGTCATATTATCTATTTGTTCATAATTATGAACATTAAATTTGAAAAACACTGTAGGTAGTACCAATATTATTATTAAAATCCAAATCGACTAAGCTGTAAATTGATTAAAAATGTACGCTTAAAGTGTTTAAAATTGCGTATATACATCGTCACTCGTCAGTCAACACTAATTAAATTAGTCTTGGTAGGAACTACCTATCTAAGTAATTATACTTTCCATTAAATAAAATTATATTTTTATATTTTGCAATGTGTCTAGGTACTCATTTATTTATTTTATTGCACTACACTTTGTTTAAACCGTGGTTTTGAATATGATTTTCAGTTGTAAATATTTTAGATTTAAATTTTGTACAAAATCAAATTCAAATACAATATGTTATTTTGTTTTATTGGTACCTAACTAATGTATGATTGAATTCTGAATTTGGGTACAAATGGTATGAGTTATCTAAGTTAAACTTATATTTTTTAGTACATTTTTTTCAACTAGTATAGAATATTATATTTATTTATTCGGTTATTGTTTATTTTTAATTTTCAAAACAGAAAATCTTTCATTGCTGTTTTAGAAATTTTTTGTTGACAATTTTTGGGTTTATAAAAAGGTACAAAAAGTTTTATGTGCTTAGCACTTTTATTATAAATAAACGATTTATTTAGGTGGTACCTTTGAATAAGTTATTTTTAACATTCCCAATAGTTTCCTTAACCGTAAAGAAAACTACGAAATGGTGAAAACTGCGATAAATATTGAATAAATCTAAGCAAGCGGGGTTTTCAATTTTCAACTAAGCTTGAATAGAATCATTTTATAATTCAGTGGCTTATACATTTGAATTTATAATAATTCATAATAATACACCATACTGGAATTGGGCTTCGAAGTGTGCAAACATTCTGCTGTCCAGTGCTCTTTTTTAACACCAAGCGAATTATTTTATTTTATAACTTATCGTATAAAAACTATAAAGGTTTTAAGTATTTCTTCGTATGCAATATTAAAATATCTATTTTAATAACCCTTGTTTAATATTCTGTGCTTAGTTGTACTATTATTTATTATACTATAATACGCCTTAGAATAGTACTCCGACCTTTCTGACTATAATTTTTACGATGAAAATGTCATATATTAATAAGTACCGCAGTTTACCCAACAATATTATGCAAAACATTAATTTATTGTTTGTGGTTACTTACAATATTCTCTTAAATACTAATCAATTCGTTTAATCTTTATTTTGAATTGATCAAATGATGCATGTTTTAAATGTAGGGGTACTTAAGTTTGTAGCGTATTGGCTAAATTTGTTCAACAACGTTCGTTTACAATATTACTGCTTAGGTCTGTTTCTTTACTATTCAAAACGTCACATCAAGATGATTATTTTTATAGAATTGTAGTACCTATGATCCTTGATCAAGATTTTTCTAGAATCTAATGTAAATGAAGTGTCGACGTTTATTGACATTAAAATGGTTGTCAATGAGTATTTTTATAATATAAAGTTTTGTACACTCAATTTCCTTATGACGGAGGGGAGGAGGGTAAAATTATATACATATGAAGGGTTAAGGGGAAAAATGATAATAGTCAATATTCCTAAAATGTTCAGTATTGCAGTTTTAAAGTGGGACTAGGTCCTTTTTCTCCCGTTATGGTAATATTAAAACCTGTATTATATTATTGACCGTGATCTTTTTTCCATAACTCAATTCACGTGTCGATTCGTTATGAAACTAACCAAAATATACTAAAATGATTTGATTTTTTCTTTCTTTTGACTACGATCGTTTTTTCACGTAACCCTTCATATGCTTATCGCTGAGTGATTCAACCAACACAATGAGTTCTTTCATAGTTAAAATATTCAGAGTTTTGTGTATTATATTTATAGTGATGTTTATAATTTTCATTCTAACCGTTTCAGAACTGAGTTTTATTTTATTTTTTATCCTTGGGGGGGGGGAGATTTATCCTAACCCCCACCATATATCTGTGCGCTACTGACATTATAGGTGTATCCTCTATATTTCTTTATTAATGAAATATTTTAATGTAAATATTGGTAAGTTTATCATAAAAAACCATTTGTACTATGTAAACTTATTATTTATTATTAATATATGTATACTATTCTGAACTTTTTGCACTTAATTGTATTTTTTTGAACAGTAGACGGTCAAAACGAACTAATAGACAAATGTCAATAGATAAAAATAAAGGATTCCAATATGCATTTCATATATTGTAACCATGAAAACGTAGCCTGTAGACGGACAATAGACTTAAAAAAATATATAAATCATATACCATATACCAACACGTAGTTTAGTATAACTGCACTAAGCGTCACAAACAATAATATTAAACGGTGTAGGCCACTCTGGCAATAATTTAAAATTCGTCATAATATTATAGATATATTATTATTATGTGTATATACGACAAAAGACGTGTGGAAAAAAATCGTCTAGTTTTTTTTTACACAATATGATAATAATATAATATCGCGTGTGACCTACTGGTCTGTTTTCGGGTCTTTGAAAATATTATGGTCGTCGATCGATTATTGTTTATCGATAGTCGCACACGCGTTACATACGAATATTGTGTGCGCCGAGAATAATAACATGACAATAATACTAGTATAACGGACCAACTATAATAATAATAGGGTCGACGATATGGTGGAATTTGTTCGCTTCTATGTATTGTACTGCAGTGATGTTTTATCGACAACGACTCACCAGAGATAACCAATTAATATTTTTAGAAGGCCACATTAGGAATCTTTAAATTGTTAGCTGGCTATCAAAATTGCAGAAGTCGGTTAAAACTAATGAAGAAAAATTATACCTATACCTAACTCTGGAACGTATATTTTAATATAATCGGATTTTCCTTTTTTTCCTTGTGCGGACCATATACAATTTATCCGTGGGTTGCCATTTTGTGACAACCATACTATAATATATTATTTTACAATATATAGCGGGGGTCACCAATTAATATTTTTGAAGTGGCATATTATTAGGAATCTTCAAAATCGTTTAGCGGGCCATCAAAATTGCTGACATCAGTAAAAACCGATGAACAAAAATGATAAATTATTATAACTCTAGAACGTATAATATTATCGTTTCTTACAAATTGTCCGTGGTCCTCTATTTGGTGACCACTGTACCCTTAGTATAATACACATCGAGAGTAATAATCAATGAACGCCATCGATTCGGTGCCAACGCATATACCCGGGTGCGTCAAACCTTAAGTACCTTAGGTACAGTGTTAGAAAGAATAGCAAGACTACTAACCGAACGGTTTGATTGTTGCATAATAATATTAATAAGTTAATTTCCGACGACAACTGCCTATAATAAGCAGATTTTCCGGTTTCGCAATCTACACAGTACATACTCTCCAACCCGGTATAATCAGTTTGGATTTTATTGATTTTAATGATTCTTTTGCAAAATTCATTGCCAATAGCCAACGCAATAATTAGTGTTGCTCGATTTTTATTTAAACAACATTACATCATCTCAATGATTATAATATAATGGGGTTTTACATATAAATATGTACGCAATGCAAAAAGATCAAAAAATTAAAAACCATTTAGCAGTTGGAAATTCAGAAGATTATTCAAGAGAACTAATATCTACTCGTAATATCGACAATTTAGAAACCGAAGACTTAAGTCATTCAAAAAATGTGTTTCATCAAAACGTAATTGTTTGCGTTGGAAAAAACGTTTATCAAGAACAAAATATGTACGAAACGCAAAGTGCATCGACTGGAATGCACCACAGTTGCACCCGGAAAACGACGACCTCGCGTGAACTATCGCAACGTACCTCTGCAACTGCCGGTGTCGTCGACCACTTCGGCGATGTCGGTGCAGCTGTTGCGTCGGCGGCCGGTCACGCTGCTCCAGGGGCTGCTGGTGCCGCTGTTGTAACAGCTACCCCCGCTGTTGTAACAACTACCACCGCTGTTGTAACTGCTACCGCAGCCGGAACTGCTGCGACGGCTCCGTGGTTCGCCGGAAGACGGAGTGCGCGAGAACCGGCGGCCGGTCATGTAGGCGAACGGTTCGTCGTCCGAGTCGGTGTACCCGTCGTCCGTGTCGTCCTCGTCCATGCCGCGGAACTGGTCGTTGTCCGGCGACAACGACGACACTGACGCGGGAGACACCGAGTCGGGCGACGCGGACGATGACGACGACGCGACGCACAGCGCCCGGTTTGACAGTCGTCCTTCGGTCGGCGACCGCGGCGACGACGGCAGGGATCCTATGGTCGCCGGTCGGCCTGCACGCTCTCGGTCCCGCGGTTCGCGCCGTTCCCGCTGCAGTTGGTCCGGTTCCGTCGGAAAACCCTGCTGCGCCTGGAACAGTTCGTCCAGGATGCCCACGCTCCGCGCCACCGGCTCGTGCAGGTTGACCGCCACCAGCTGACCGCACTTGTACAAGAACAGCAGCCAGATGTCCGGCTGGGCCGTCAGACACCGCACAATGTACCGGCCCAGTTTCAACACGCCCCGCGATGAACGTTGCGTCGCCGGCTGCATGTCATCCGGCCGCGCGCACAACATCGACGCGATTGAACGTGCTGGCGAACACCGGGCCCGCCGCCGCTCGACCGATTTCTCAAGGTAGACCGCCTCGACGCGATATCCCCCCCTCAGCCACCCGCTCACGACAGTCCGCCCGCGCCGCCGTCTATTTTGGCGAATATTATGTAAATAACAATAATCATAATAGTAACCTAACCTAACCGTATACCTACTATGAGTAAAATAATATGCGTGCGCTTGAACAATCACTATTACCGGTTTTTTTTTTGTTCGGGCTGTCATTCAATGAACGACGGTAACAATAATAATAATAATAAATAATAATAATGATAATAATAATAATAATAATAGTAATAACAATAATAATAGTAGTAATAATAATAGTAATAATAATAGTAATAATTAATAGGTAATAAGTACGTCAACTACCTCGGGTTTTGGAATCTACTGATTTAATTACAGGGCACGGGACATTATGCGCTAAACAACAACGAAATTGTGCATAGAAAGCGCAAATATTATGAAATCATTTTTTCTAAACTACAATGTATCTATAGGTATAGGAATGAGATTGGAAAAAATCATAACTATTATTTAACGGTGTGAACGGCATTTATACAGGTACCCCAGCGGGTTATGATTGGTTCTGGAGGTAAAGCAGGGATGCGGTGAGTAATTTTTGAAATTGTGTTTAATACGTGATGATGGTTTTTAAAATTTTTTTTTGTACATAAGCTATAATTTTATCAACAGTACCAAATCGTATTCGTACTTCCTCTGAAACTCCATGAAGACTCTGAGATCATGGCAAAAAATATTTTCTTATTGAACAAAATTAATATGTTAAATAAGACCGGGCTAACCAAATCAAATTTACAATTGATACTCCAGGTATAATATTGAATATTTGTTAGTTGTTTATTTATAATAAATTATAAACATAATAGGGGGTTTCCGTTTTCCGCCAAAATGAACCTCACCATGACCGTTTACCGCCAAAGGTTATATTCCGATTTCCACCAAACAACATCAATAAATTACCCATGTGAGATATTTTTTGAGAACCCCTGAACCTTAATCTTTTAAATAGATGGTAATGATTACGATTTACGATGTACGCACGCCCCTCACCTTGTAATACAGACGTCATATTGATTATATTAAAATATTAAATTCATATAAAATTAAACGAATAGTAGGTATAAACAGTATAAATATAAATATTAATAATTTATTAGAAACATCACAATTTTCTCTTCCAAATAATACATTAAATTAATAATAATAATTATAAAAATTTAAATTTCATAATAAAAGACAAAAATTCAAACATATTTTAACACATTGAATATTTACTATATGAAAAAGATTTTTCTTCAACAAACTCGAACCTAGCTAAATGCCCATGAATATGTTTTTGAATGTAGGTATATTCTTCATTTCTTAACTGCCTTGAATTATTTATATAATAATAATAATAATAATATGGAGGGATATAACTGATATTAAGGGTTCTCAAAAAATATCTTAAATAATTTATTAATTTTTTTTGTTGGAAAACGGTTACTATACTATACTATACTATACTCATTAATAATCATTGAATTTTTAAATATCCAACATTTTTGTAGGTATACTTCGATTGTATGTATCATGAAACGAATTTGTATCGAATAATATTTTGAATATGCAGCTTCCTAAGAATTATGCAAATACATGAAGTTACCTAGTCCTGGTAATAAATAATAATGTACGCTGGTCTTGTACGGTATCTTTTGTCTACTTGTTATGTTATTAGTTATTACTTATTATCATTTATCAGTCTGAAAATAATTAGTTTAGGTACTTTTACAATAAAGTCAGTCCTATTGAGGACGTCGCACCCGCATACGTTGTCTGCATTTTAACACACGCCTACTCGAGCGTAAGACATAGCAAATTTTCTTTCGCTAGTTTCAATAGGGTGTTGTCAGTTTTGATATTATAGTGAATCGACTTTTTATCAAACTTTTAAGTTTCAACATTATATTATGTGTTCTGTCATTGATGTTTTACGATATTTTAACTTTTAAGTGAGTTATGATCATTTTCAAATATTAATATTTTACATACTCATAAAGTCATAACTCACTTAAAAATTAAATTATACCTAACAAATGATTTCGTATTAGTCTGTGAATTGTATTATATTCGTGATTATAATATTGTCATTAATCATTATAGTAGATACATTTAGTAAATAGTAATTCGTATAGGAGTTAGTGGTTTTTGTATTTATCTTGAAAATGGTTTTATTGTTGTAGAAATTAATTTTACTACAGTGCATACCTAAGTGATAATTCAACTAAGTATCTAGAGGTATTGTAAAATGTTATTTTTTTTATAACCAATACAATATACTGTTTGGAATTTTTAAAACACTGTGATATTTTTCCACTGTTCAAGCAAGACGTTCACAAATAAGAAACGAAGAAATAATATACGTAACGGTGAACTCGGCGATATGCTAAAAAAATATAAGGAAACGTGACTGTTATGGCGAATCGAAAAATACCTATATCTGAAATGTACCAAATAAATGGCCAAACATATCGTTTTCGAAAAAAAATATTTTTTTAAGTACGCCAATAAAAGTAATAACAATAGAAGTTTTCTTGATTTGAAAAAATAGTTGAGTCGATGTATTTTTGGATTAATCTTTTACAAGCAGCGCAAACAGTATTATTTACCGGTTGAAGTCTTCCATTAGTTATTGTTGATTGGTATAATTAGTACGAAGTGTAAAGATAGTAGAATTCGATAAACGGAGAAAAAAATTGAAGTTGATGTGGAGGATATCCGAACTAACGAATTCTCATTCCAAGAAAAAAGAAAACACCACAGAGGCATAGAGATGATAAGCCACAAATGTCCAGGTCTTGCTCCAGAGAAGATGCCAAGTTAGAAACTGTAAGAAAATATGGAAAATGAGTTGAGTGTCCTCGAGTTTTCCGATTTTTGGAAGTTTTAAATACTCTCGGACAATTTTTTCAACTTCTTGAATTTTTATGTGGCGATACAAACTTTTGTTTTTCAAATGATAACCTCCCTTTTTTACTGTAAATTATTTATTGGATCATTTTTTTGAAAATGTTGATGTGTCTACTCAATTCAAAATTCGAATGAGTAGTTTCTTAGTTATAAATGATTTTACTTAGGATAATAGTCCTTAAAATGGTACAAAAATATAAAATAGACGTAATATAGAAACTAGTAATTATTATAGGTACTTGAGCAATTTTTATAAATTAATGATGCTGATAAATTAATATTAATGACTACAATTTTAAAATCACCATAGCTTTCATATCTTATAAACCCATTAACATAGATATTTTATCCTTTGAACTGAGTTTGTACACAAAGTTAAATAACTCAAAAACTACTGGTATAAATTTTATTCTGCTACGTCAAATTTTTCAGAAAAATTATCCACTGAATTTACAGTTTAAAAGAAGTCCACCACTAGTTCTCATTTGAAAGACGGGGTTGCCCGTGGTTGGGTGGCAAACTATACCAACAAATTAACGGTGGGTTGCATATTATATTAAACGACAACCACAATGATGTCATCAGATTATTATAAATAAGTATGGCTCGACCGAGTAATCTCTATCGTCGTATAACTCGTCGTCTAGTGATGAGGTGGGTTTTCGGAATTGTTCACAAGTTTTCCAGAAAACTGCAGTACACACAGTAGATTGTTTTAAAAAAGAAATTGAAATTATTTTTTCGTAATTGTGATTCCGACTAAATATAAAATTGTTTTATATCATTTCTGGCATTGCCCTTACTGCCATAAATCTAATGATTCTTATTATAGTATAGTGACTAGTGAGCATAATATGCTTTATTCTTACTAGCTGCCTTTTAAGAATATTAATACATTTTTCGAGATTTACACACTATAGATACATTCGACTATAACATTGTATTCTCTTTTTTTTTTTTTAATTATATTTTCAGAGAGAATAACAATTTCATAGTTTCATACACATTTTGACGAATAATTAATGTCAAATTACAAGCGAATGGTTGTTTATACAAATATATAAGTGTGCTTATAGATAATAGGAGTCTGAAGTGAAGTGTACCACTTTAATACATTGGTATGGTTCATCACTCAGCTCATTTAAACTTTAAATGCTCATACAATATACATACAACATACTATTTTATGTAATCGAATTTTGTTAATTTACCAAACTAATATGTTGTACCGATAATGGTTTTCTTTTAATAATCGTATTTATTTACAAGCAAGTACTATATACGCAGACCTGTTAACCCCTTCTCTCCCACTCAAGTATACTAAGCCACAATTTCAGGAAAGACAGAGACGATAATTTATTGTTTCTGTTGAAGCAATAATAAACAAGGTGGTTAATTAAGATCTTAATTAACGAAGAAAAACATAATAATATTTGGTTAAATGTTGGATTCAAGCTATACATGTTAACTACATTAGATTGAACAGATACGGTGCAGCAGTAATAATCGTATTATTGAAGATATGGAGGTAGATATAGGTAATGGCCAAAGTTCAGTCATAAATTAATAAACACTGTTACGTTTTAAAATTAAGAAATTGAGACGGTATAACTTAATAATATATATTTTATACACTGGTTAGCCCTTAAGTTTGCACAAGGCGCAACATATTGGTGCATTCAGGTGATGTCATTCGATATGTGCTTTTAGTGCTTCTACCAATATGTCAATATTGAAATATTATATATTTACTTTAATAATAAAATATGTACAAAAATAGTTTTAACTTTTATTGTTTTAATGTATCGGATACGATTTACCTTGAGAATTTGTTTAAGATAGTCATAACAAAGTTATGCAAAGTGCCTATAGGCCTTAAAAGAAAATTAATTATGTTAAAACTTAAAAGCAGACATTCAGGGGAAATATTAATTTAAAAAATAAAGTGGTTTTACTTTTAAGTAATGTAATTCACACAGTAATATTGT